ATTGGATAGACTTTATGTTGCTATAGACTCAAACTTTACAGAGGATGGCTAGGATTTTTTGATATTGGACAGAGAACTTGTTTACATCCTAAAAATGACTACTGACTGAAGCAGCTTGGATTTCAAGAATTGACATCTCCTGAGATTATTTTTACATTACCACTGATGTTCAGTGAGAGTGATCCATGGATATGTTCATTAGTGTGATTATATTAATATTGTACAGTGCAGTTAATTGTGTTTTTAAAGCTGAACTCCACCCAGGAGGAACATTTTATAACTGACAACGTGTTTCCTTACCTTGCTGTTCTTGAAGTTTGATCTTCTCTGTTAACCTTGTTTTGTTTCTGACATCGCCCAGCATTTTTCATTACTTTGTTTACAGACAGAAGCCAGCAGAGATCTGTCATTTACAGGCAGTGTTTCTAACACCATTGAATGACAGATCCCTGACTGCTGTTATTGAACTCAAAGTATAATTTTTAAAAGAGTACATCATAATGCATTCACCTGGTATTTAAGGAAACCCCTCAAGCATGTTACTTAAAGAATCTTTGTATTTTCAATGTTGCCCATTAAGTCGCTTTAAAAGACCATCACCTTCTGAACAGTATTTATTTTATTTAGTTATTTATTTATTGTTTTTTGGCATGTCCCAATGGCAATGCCCAGCTATCCATGCCCAAGACTTTAATCAGTTATGGTGCCATGTTTGGTTTAGCATTTTTTTCTTTCCTGGGTTTTTCAAATCATCTGCAAACTGAACTTTTCCCAATTCACATATGACTGTTGGCAACACATACAAGAAAGGAAACCTTAACAAAGAGTGTATTTTAAAAGTAAACATTTGAGGGCAAGTGGTTTGGTGAACTGACATTCAGATGAACCTTCATAATCGGTATCTTTGCTTAAACATTAATTACCCCAATTCATGACTACATTACCAGCCTTGCATCATGAGTAAAGAATATGTAAACCCAACATTTCATATTCCTGATATGTGCCTGTTGTACCATGTACAATGAAAAAGTATCCTGTTCTTTTTGTATTGCTTCCTTTGTTACATAGGTAATTTAGTTGAAGAAAAAACATACATTTCAACCAGCAGTGAAAAATGCAAACGTGAGTTCAAAGCAAGTACCCCGGGCTGTTTGCACATACAGTACCTTTTGGTATGAGTGCCCTGGAACCAAGTTTGCTACTTTTTCCAAACAATACTTGCATTGGTAGACATGACTTGTTGTAGGTGTGGCCTAGAGGGCTTTGACCTGGGAAATGCAGGCAGAATTAGAGTAAGGCTACTATTATTATTATTATTATACAGTATTTATAAAGCGCCAATGGTTTGCTCAGCGCTGTACATTACAAAGGGGGACAGAACATGTGACAGAACAATACCAATACAATGCAAAACATGAGGGGATCGAGGGCCCTGCTCTTTCGAGCTTACAATCTAGGATGGGGGGATAGTGGTACAGGAGGAGATAGCTGTGGGGGATGGAGTGGTAGGAAGAGTGAAGGAGGTCGGCAAGTTAGCAGGGGGTGGGGTAGGCTTCCCTGAAGAGATGGGTTTTCAGGGTGCGTCTAAAGGAGAGGAGAGTAGGTGATAATCTGATGGGTTGGGGCAGGGAGTTCCAGAGGATGGGTGACACCCTGGAGAAGTCCTGGATGCGGGCATGGGAGGAGGAGACCAGGGAACTAGAGAGAAGGAGGACTTGTGAGGAGCGGAGTGTGCGTGCTGGGTGGTACTTGGATATTAGGTCAGTGATGTAGTACGGGGCAGTATGGTGGACAGCTTTGTACGTCAGTGTTAGGATTTTGAATTTGATCCGTTGCGCAATCGGAAGCCAGTGGAGGGATTGGTAGAGGGGGGTGGCGGAGATGGAGCGGTTGGAAAGGTGAATGAGTCTGGCAGCCGTATTCAGGATCGACTGAAGCGGGGATAGCCAGCGGCGAGGCAGGCCAGTGAGGAGGGAGTTGCAGTAGTCGGCTCGTGATATGATGACGGAGTGGATGAGCTGTTTAGTGGTTTCTGGGGTTAGGAACGTATTTTGGCAATGTTGCGGAGGTGGAGTCTGCATGAGTTTGTTAAAGATTGGACTTGGGGCTGGAAGGATAGGTTGGAGTCCAGAATGACACCAAGTACTCTGGCCTGCGGGGCAGGTTATGATGGTGGATGTGACGGAGAAGTCAATGGGGGGTGGAGTCCGGGCTGGGGGGAAGACAAGAAACTCTGTTTTGGAGAGGTTCAGTTTAAGGAAGTGGAGCGACATCCAATACAATTCAGTTACAAAGTGTTTTAGATTTTGGTAATTTTTGCTAAATGTAATATACTTCATGTTAACACGAAAAAAAGAGGGGCGTGATACTCTTTGCTATGTTCTTAGTTCATAAAGGAAAATATTTTTCTCCTCTTCTCTCTGATGCTCCAAGCCCTCTGCATTCTTTTTTTTTGGGGGGGATTCAACTTCATGTTACAAGGTGGCTACATTTGTTATCAATGGTTCCACAGTATGTTGGAATGTAGCCACCCTCCTTTGCTGTTCTTGTGATGGACTATGGACCTTGGACTATGGAATTTGTAGAAAGCACTGTAAATGCTGGAAACTAACATGCACTTTTCATTCCAGACAAATGTGAGAGGAAAAAGGAGAGGTTTAGGAGATCACAGAGGAAATTACAAGGATGCGGAAAAACACAAGAAACAATTAAATGAAATCGATTTTGGGGGTCATTAAGTAGTGGATGAGTATGGATTATTTTTGTAAAATAAGGATATTGTTTAGTGTCACTTTAGATAGTATTGGTTGTCAGTTGAAAGCTCTGTTCTTTATGGTTATCCACCTGTTCCCTATTGACATTCCACTGTATGTTGTGTTGTTCAGACAAGTAAAACTAGGTTTTTCAGCTGGAGCCACTAGATGGTGTCTTTGGTTGTTTTTTCTCCTTATTGGTGCATAGATTCTTCTTTCAATGTTTTTTTTTTTCAAGCACTTCAAAAGAAAACCTAAAACAATAGAACAATTCAAAATAATGACTTGTTTATACCAAACTGATACTGTAGACTTAGCATAAAATAAACCTTATGTAACATAATGGGAGTTCCCAAAATGAATCAACATGGTTTAGTGATTAAGGTGAACTAAAAGAGAACTCCAGGGATTAAAGTGATATTAAAGGTAATTTAAAAAAAAAAACAAAAACATGTAAAACTTACGTGCTCTGTGCAGTGGTTTTGCACAGTCCCGATCCTCCCTTTCTCAGGTCCCCCCGGCACTCCTGGTCCTTCCCTCCTGCCATGTGCCCCCAGAGGAAGCAGTTTGTTATGGGGGCACCCATGCAGGCTTGCTCCCAAGCTGTGGCTCTATGTGTCAATTCACATCCCCTCATTGGCTCACTGACTGTGTTTGAAAAACTATGTATAGTACACCAGAAGACGCTACATCTGCAGGTGACATCCCCTGGCAGACCCCTACACACCTGTCATTGGTTGTTACAATGCTACACAGCATCACTGGTTGCTAGGTTGTTGCTAACTCTGTAGCTGACAGCATCCTACCAACCTGTGACGCTCTAAAGACTGGAGGAAGAATATGCAACGAGGAAGGAGTGTCCACAGTATGGACACTCTGGCTTCAGTGTCGTCTCCCTCCATGTGTCCATTTAAAGGGGAAGATGGTGGCAGCTCTGCCTTGAGTTGGGCTTTATTATTTATTTTATTAATATTATATTTTTATTAATTGCATCTTACAAAATCCAAAGACATTTGTTTACATAATCATCTACAATTTATTATAAATTTTCTAAACCCTTTACCATACCCCCCCCCCCCCCTCCCAATTACCTCCCTTATCCAGTTCTTATTACTCCTCTAGTGTTCCATCTTCACACCTTCATTTCTCCTCTGACCTCTTATCACTATCTCTCTCCCTCTACTCATTCTTCCCTTCTCTTTATTCTTCTACACCATCAATTGAGTTGGGCTTAAAAGATGAACTTTGCTGAACTAAAAAGTACCCTTGCATTGGGGCTTCACTTGCACTGCAATGGTTAAATGTTCTTTTTTGCCTACTGTACCCAGGCAGTTGACCCTCTCCTCTTCTCTCTAAAGCTCCAGGCCCTCGGCATTCTTTTTTTTTTTTTTGGTGCTGTGATCCAACTTCCTGTTACAGGGTGGCTACATTTATTATCTATGGTTCCACAGTATGTAGGAATGTAGCCACCCTCCTTTGCTGTTCTCGAGATGGACTATGGACCTTGGACTATGGAATTTGTAGAAAGCAGTGCACATGATGGAAACTAACATGCACTTTTCATTCCAGACAAATGTAAGTGAGAGGAAAAAGGAGAAGTTAAGGAGGCACAGAGGAAGTTACAAGGATGCGGAAAAACACAAGAAACAATTGAATTCGATTTTGGGGGTCATTAAGTAGTGGATGAGTATGGATTATTTTTGTAAAATAAGGATATTGTTTATTGTCACTTTAGATAGTATTGGTTGTCAGTTGAAAGCTCTGTTCTTTATGATTATCCACCTGTTCCCTATTGACATTCCACTGTATGTTGTGTTGTTCAGACAAGTAAAACTAGGTTTTTCAGCTAGAGCCACTAGATGGTGTCTTTGGTTGTTTTTCTCCTTATTGGTGCAAAGATTCTTCTTTCAATGTTTTTTTTTTTCCAGGCACTTTAAAAGAACACCTAAAACAATAGAACAATTCAAAATAATGACTTGCTTATACCAACCTGATACTGTAGACTTAGCATAAAATAAACCTTATGTAACATAATGGGAGTTCCCAAAATGAATCAACATGGTTTAGTGATTAAGGTGAACTAAAAGAGAACTCCAGGGATTAAAGTGATATTAAAGGCAATTTAAAAAAAAAACAAAAACATGTTATACTTGTGTGCTCTGTGCAGTGGTTTTGCACAGTCCCAATCCTCCTGTCACGGTGTGCCTTCACCCCCCCCTCCCCCCTTGCCGTGTCCTCATCCTGCAAACAGCCTCTGAAGCCAGGCTGTGCAGGATGGGGGGAGGGGACCCCTGCGGCGAGCATCAAAGCTCATCTGGCAATCTAGATGGAGGAGCTGTGACCACCCACCAGGAGACCCCAGCGGCAGACCGCCGAGATGTCTCCACGCGCCCAGGTGGATGCAGTGCGGGCACAGGGGGCTTCCCACGCTCACGAGAAGTGCGGCCCGAGTCAAGGGGGCGCGCGACTTGTTGCCTGGGCAACGCGGGGCTGGACCAGCCATTGCCGGGGCAACCCGGAAGCATCCTGGACGGTTTAAAAGGCCGGCGCGGGAGCCGGCCGGTCTCTTCCTCCTGCGCTGTCTGGCCGCTCTCTCTCGGCCCACCGCCACCACTGTCATGAAAGGTCTGGGTGGGGACCGGGCCTCCGCAGCCATCCAGGCTGAGCACTCTGCAGAAGCTCCCCTCCTCAAAGGTCAGATCCCACAGCCAGGACTCCTGCTGCTGTTCCTGGCAAGCTGGCCGCTGCGAGGGCCCCTGCCTGCTAATCGCTGCTGTCCCTGGAAAAGCTGGCTGCTGTGAGGGCCCCTGCCTGTTAATCGCTGCTGTCACTGGAAAAGCTTCCCGCTGTGAGGGCCCCTGCCTGCTAATCGCTGCTGTCCCTGGAGCCTGATGTTGTCCCTAGAAAGCTGTGTGGGAGCTGTGCTGAGGCCAGACTCCACAGCCAAAGTCCCGCTGAGTCCCCGTGAGGCCGCTGTCATCCCTGGAAATCCCGTTGAGTTCCTGTGAGGCTGCTGTTGTCCCTAGAAAGCTGTGTGGCCGCTGTGCTGAGGCCAAGTCCCACAGCCAAAGTCCCGTTGAGTCCCCATGAGGCTGCTGTTGTCCCTAGAAAGCTGTGTGGGCGCTGCGCTAACGCCAGACCCCACAGCCAAAGTCCCGTTGAGTCCCCATGAGGCCGCTGTCCTCCCTAGAAATCCCGTTGAGTCTCCGTGAGGCTGCTGTTGTCCCTAGAAAGCTGTGTGGGCACTGTGCTGAGGCCAGGCCCCACAGCCAAAATCCCGTTGAGTCCCCGTGAGGCTGATGTTGTCCCTAGTAAGCTGTGTGGGAGCTGTGTTGAGACCAGACTCCACAGTCAATGTCCCGCTGAGTCCCCGTGAGCCTGATGTTATCCCTAGTAAGCTGTGTGGGAGCTGTGCTGAGACCAGACTCCACAGCCAAAGTCCCGCTGAGTCCCCGTGAGCCTGATGTTGTCCCTAGTAAGCTGTGTGGGAGCTGTGTTGAGACCAGACTCCACAGCCAAGGTCCCGCTGAGTCCCCGTGAGCCTGATGTTGTCCCTATTAAGCTGTGTGGGAGCTGTGCTGAGGCCAGACTCCACAGCCAAAGTCCCGTTGAGTCCTCGTGAGCCTGATGCTGTCCCTAGTAAGCTGTGTGGGAGCTGTGTTGAGACCAGACTCCACAGCCAAGGTCCCGCTGAGTCCCCATGAGCCTGATGTTGTCCCTAGTAAGCTGTGTGGGAGTTGTGCTGAGGTCAGACCCCATCGCCAAGGTCCTGTTTAGTCCCCGTGAGCCCGCTTACCGTGGGTGTCCCTACAGGCCGCATGTCGCGGAGTGCCATGAACTGTCCTGATTGAGTGTCTTTCATAGTTCAATAAAGCTTTGTGTGTTCCCCATCTTCTTTGTGTGTTCTGTCCTGCCTACGCTTCCGTTACACCTCCCCTTCTCGGGTCCCCCCAGCACTCCTGGCCCTTCCCTCTTGCCATGTGCCCCAAGAGCAAGCAGTTTGTTACGGGGGGCACCTAAGCAGTCTCGCTCCCAAGCTCTGGCTCTACGTGTCAATTCACCTCCCCTCATTGGCTCACTGACTGTGATTGACAACAGCGGGAGCTAGTGGCTTCCGCTGCTGTCTCAGTCAATGAGGTGGGAAAGTCCCCTGGGAGCCGAAGCTTTTGATCACTAGATCATGATGGGGCTTGGGTAAGTATTAGAGATGGCTGAAGGCTGCTACACACAGAATGTTTTTGTTGCCTTCATCCATAGAAGGTGCATGCCCTCAACATGGGGGGTTACTTTGCCAGTTGGACATCCCCCTGGCAAAGCACCTTCTCCCTATGTTGATGAAGACAAGGGCCTCTTTCCAACAAACTAGAAGTTAATTAGCAGGCCCCAAAGGTTAGTAGTCAGTAGGGCAGTGTACAGAAGTTAGTAAGATGTATTGCACTGAATAGAGGTTAGTACGATATAGAGCATTTTACAGGAACCAGTAGGGCAGATGACACAAGTGAGTAGGACAGGTGTTAGCAAGGAAGGCAGCAAACAGGGCAAAGGACAAGGGGTCAACCGGGCAAAGGACAGAGGGCCGGCAAGACAGTGTGAAGGGGCTCAGGAAGGCACAGTATAGAGGTGTCAGGATGAACAGGTCAGAAAAAAACAGTACAGGTGGGTCTGGAGGGCACAGCACAGTGCGGTCAGAAGGGCAAGGTACTGGGGGGTTGGGAGGGTACGATATTGGGGGGTCAGGAAGGCATGATGTTGGAGGGAGAGAGGGTAAGTTATTGGGGGGTTCAGGAGGGCAGAGTACTGGGGTTAAGAAGGCACAGGCGTGGGGGTCAGGAGGGCACAGTAGTGGGGGGTCTGTAGGGTATAGAACTGGGGGGGCACCAGGAGGGCTAGAGAGTCTGAAGGGCAAAGCACTGGAGGGTCAGGAAGGCGCGGTATTTGGGGGGTCAGGTGGGAACAGTACTGGAGGTCAGAAAGGCACAGTCCTGGGGGGTCAGGAGGGCACATTACGGAGGTGTCAGAAGGACATGGTACTGAGGGTTAGGAGGGCACGCTACAGAGGGATCAGAGGTCCATGGTACTTGTCAGGAATCAAGGAGTGACCAGAAAGGTGTGGACTGACACAGGGAAACGCAGGTTTCAGGTATAGTATAATACAGGTTATTATTAGCCACCCATATATATATATAAACGCACAGTGAGCAAACTAACCTTCCACTAATCTTAGGAGGTGCAGGAACACAGGCGTAGTCAGGGCTGGAGAGGTGGAATGGTCAGGCCGGCCGTAGGGTTCTGTAACGACTGCCTGGTGGTACCTCTAGCGGTCCTCAGGGCAGGATTCCCCAGGGCGCGGAGTCTAAGTCCCAGTCTGCTATTCACCAGGGCCCCTGATGGTGGGGATGGACTTGGAGCAGACAGGAACCAGGTCGCGGCCCCTGAGTACACCTGCTAGTGATAGAGAAATCCGCCAGAGGTATGTGCAGGTACGGCTGGATCCGTGCAGGATGGATGGATGGCAGAGTAGTGAGCGTGGTCAGACGGGCCAAGTCAGCAACGTGCGGGCAGCAAGGTATCAAAGGAGCAGGCAGAGAATGGTCAAGGTCACAAGCCGGGTTCAGTAACTCACGGACAGCGCAGTACAGAGGATCAGGCAGAAGGATGGTCAGGGATGAGCCAGTAGTCAGAACAGGAGACGGTCAACAGGAATCAGGATCAGGCAGGGTCGGCAACAAGGTATCTTCTCACAGGAACTAGGAACAGGATACAGGGGCTCATGGGAAAACATACACCAAGGCCCAGAGCACAGGCCTGGTCATGCCTTATATACACCTTTCTGTAATCAGCCCCAGGTTTGGCTGATTGTGAGCTTCTGGCTGCTAAGAGCACCCGCTGGTCAGCTCTGGTACTGCAGCCCACACGGCAGGAGAGTCCCACCACCAGTGCTGAATCCATTCCTGACAGTACTAGAGGTCAAGAGGGTCCATATGTGGTTTCCTGATGCAGAACAGTGCAAGGAAGCTGCTGTAGCCAATCTACCTGGTCTGTGGCACTGATCCCCGCTGGCCCTCCTCTCTCTTCACATGATGTCACCAAAAAACTTCTGGAGAGGAGGGCAAGGATCAGCACACTACACACAGGGGGACAAGAGCCTGGACTTTCCCAAGCGCTGGTAAAGTCAACAATCCTAGGTGGCAGGGGCATTCCCTGCATATGCAAGGGGCGTGCTGCAGGGCGAGGAATGACTCTGCTGCATAGGACTTGCTTTGACTGCATTCTGGCTTGAGAGCTCAGACTATAGGATGTCTGAGCTCTGCTTTGTCACTCGGGGGGGGGGGGGGGGGGAGCCCTTGCGGGTCGGTAGGGCAGGGACTCAAATGCAATCTACCTGTCACCTGCCAGCGGTCAACAGGTAGATCACGATCAATGGGTTGTCGACCTCCGCCATAGAGTAACAGGCAGCTCCAGCTGCACATACAAACCACTCAATCACACTGCATGAGCAAGGGAACCCCTGTGAATGAGCTCTACATTTTTTAAATAGTTTTTTTTATTTTTCTATTTAATTTTTATTATTTTGTTTTACCATTTTAGATTTATTTTACAGTTTTTAATTTTTAATAAATTTTTTTTATTTTTGCAGCGCTTTTTTTTTTGAGGGGGGGGGGGGGTTTGGTGAAATATCATGTGTCTAAACAGACCCCTGAAGTCTCACTTTTATGACAAAGGAAGGGATTGAGGATACACATTTCCTAGTCCCTTTCCCTGCAGCCTCAGCTGCACTGCAGATGATTGAACAGGTGATAGAGGCTCCTGTTCATTCATAAACTGAAGCATAGTCAACACAGTGTACTATGCTTCAGATATGAATTAACACAGTCAGTGATGGGCACCAATTACTCACTGTGTACATTCAGAAAAGGAATGGGCCCCATATTTATCAGCCCTTTCCCCTGCTCTCCATACTGAAGTTCTCTCGCAGCAGCCAATAAGAGAGGAGAGAAGCTTGAAGCACACAAGGAGGCCCAGGCAGCAAGGGGGGATCTGATAGCTGACAGAGGAAGGGGTGATTGGTGCAGCAGGGGGCATTACAAGAACCGGTCCTCTGAATGGCTCTCCATGCAGCAGCTAAAAGCCAGGGGAGGGAGATAAAGAGAAGTGGCTTTCAACTGCTACATGGAGAGTTGCAAGCTCCGCCAGTGGTGAATGGGGTGATCAGGATGTGCCCCAGCACAGGCCATGCGCACACCTATGCCTTTGAGCAATGTTTACATGCGTACAACTTTACAGCACAAAGTGCTTTCTGTTGCTGGGACGCAGTTAGCGCCAATAGAGTGCTTTGCACATATTATTACAAACATTTCCACACATGCAGCATAATAAAACAGTCCTTAGACTGGACCACAGATGCAGATATTTACATTTGTTTAAGGATTTACAGATTTTTACACAGCTGTGTGTACGGCAGCATAGAAAACTATATAGCTGCATTCAAACCTGAGAAAAAAAATCAGATGAAACCACTGTGTGTTTGCACCCATGTCTATGATCCTGCATTAAAGTGATTCTAAAGCTAAAAACGTTTTTTACCTGAATGCATGTCTTCTCCAATGATTCATGTGTTGTTTTGCTGTGTTTGTCATGTGTTTTGCTGTGCAATAAACTGCATGTTTGCTAGCCAACTTTGGGGTGCCATTAACAACTAGAAAAGCTACAATTTCTGGGGAAATTGTGTGAAGTGTTCTTGCCTCAACCAGTAGTCTAAGGCTTGAAAATGAGGGAGTGATGGCAGTTTAGAAATCATGTCCTGATTTTTCAGCTCACACTCTAGCTTTTGTCACTCTGCTTCCTGCTCACACACCTGGGTTCCTAT